ATATTTATGTTTGTGGTTGTAATGTGACAAAATATGGAAAAGTTCAAGGGGTATGAATACTTTTGCAAACCACTGTATATATGCAGTATACAAATGCATGTGTGTGTGTGTGTGTACACTATTGCTAATTTACTAAAAATCATGCTTGATCGGTTCAACCCCTTATTTTGTGCAAAACATAAAAACTAAAAGAAAATATGAATTGTCACACATAGTTTAGCCTCGACTGTTTTAGCCTCAACTGTAACCAATCATCATTCCCAAAATGCACTGCGGCAGTAACAAATATGGCAACAATTTCAAGTGAAAAACACAATACACAATATTAAAAGTAATTAGATGTTTTGACGTGTCAAACAACTTTTAGTAGAATAGAGAAAGACCAACATGCGCAAATACTCAGATCCCTTCATTAAAAATGCTAAAAATATTACGTAGCGAAGCAGCATACTTATCTACGGACTCGTAAAAAAAATGGAAAATCACAAAAAAAGAGACCTTACCTCTCATCTCGTTCTCGCGAATGATAACGGTCCCTCTCATATCTGTCTCTTTCGTATTCAGGAGGCTTTTCTCTGTACAAATCCCTCTCTCTGCTGTACTCTCTTCGATTCAAATAAGGGTCTGGCCGTCTCTCATAAAACAGGTCTCTGTCGTAAGGATCCCTGAGAGCCACAATCTCTGCATTGTTTTGTAAAAAAAAAGATTACTTAACAGCAAACAAGCAAAAAAAAAGTTTTATAAAGTGGAACTTACCTTTATCATAACCTCTGTCTGATGGCAATGGGTCAGGCCTCAACACTATTCTCTCACCATAAGAGATGCGCTCGACAGTAGTCCCATGCTCTGAAACATTTAATGTCAATCAATACCTACCAAGGTCAACGTGATTAAACACAACCTGCGTCTTTTCTAAAAATATTAAAGAAGGTTTAGCTCTACTGCTCATACCGTGTCGATGTCCATAATCAACTGTCTTAGAAACCAATGGAGGGTTTGAGGAATCAGATATAGCAGATTTGATTTCCCAGGGTGCTTGTTCAGTAGAAGGTGTTTGTGCTGCAGCACTTATACCCTGGTAAAGACAGATATTTAAAGATTTTTTTATGTGTTCAGAAATTTAAACTAGTAGGAAAAACAACAGTAGTTCATAACGCTGCTTGTTTCAATTACTGTGTTCTTTTTACATTCATGCATTTGTGGTATTAATAGGGTTAAGGACAAATATTCAGTCATTACCTTAAGAACATTCCTGACGTCTGCTGGGATCTCCAAACCAAGGAGGCCTGCAGGAAGCTCTGGCAGAGTTTCACTGGGTGTGGTTTGTAGTTCAGTAGTAGGGGTGTTTGGAAGTTGCAATTCCCTTGAAGCATAAAATAATATCAGTTAAACCAAAAGAAAGTTTCCCAAATATTTTGTACTAAGTGTGTAACTAGACAGTCAACTCATGAGCCAGGACAAGACAAAATCCTAGACTCACGAAAACAACAAAACAAAACAAAACAACAAACATCAAGTCTGGTCTGTTTTTAAAACAAGTCAGAGACTTGACCAGCATGAAGCTGCAGGGGCTGAAGCCTTCAACAAGAGAAGAAGGAAATGCTTCAGTGAAATGATAGCTAGTGCCTGACATGCTTATTTAAACTGCTGCTACACAACCTATTTTGATCATTTTATTCCAATTGCCTTGAAGCATTATTCCAACAAATAAATGATCTACCAAACATAAATGTCATTACTTTTCCAGCTAAGTTTATGTTTTACACTCTACATGAAACACTTTATATTCTCACTCCTACACCTACAGTATAAGAATTTGGTGGGCAGTACTGTGCCCTGCCAATGGCACGTCAGCATGCTGCAGGAGATGGAGATAGAGCCCCACTATCCTCTGATAAGATGAGCACCCAATCCACTGGGCCAAGCTGCCAAACTATTGGACCAAGTGGTGGTGGGGGCATCATTAATAATTTCACAAGTAATAATTTTGCAAAGCAGCTTTTAATTCAATGACAACCTTACGACATTTTGATTTCAGAAGATCTCAATACATCCATACTTTGGACTTTAAGTAAAATAAATAAATAAATAAATAAATACCATCACTTTGGGGTGCACCAAAAAATTGTTTTACATCAGAATCATGATTCTCATTTACAAAGATTCAGAATCGATTTAAAATGTCCCAAAATCAATTTTTATATACAAAATAAAAAAATTTAATAAGCAAATGCAACAGCTGAACTGCATGGGACGTCCTGATATCACCATGCAGACGCTTCTGGAACATATGAATGGACAGAAAACACCAAAACAAAGAGGAAACTGCAAAATTGGTAGGAAGACAGATTCAACAGGCTTTGTCTTCATTGAATGCAAAAATTTGGGCTAATTTTGGTTTTTACTGAATGAGTGAGTTTGACATGAGAGAGATGTGCCAGGTTTGCAAAATGAAGATGAAGCACTTTGGGAACACGAAAAATGGGCTAACATTATCAGCTATGAATGAAAATCGATTTTGAATCGAATCGTGAGAGAGAAAGATTCCCACCCCTACCACTTATTTAAAAAGAATTATGACAAAAACAAACAAACAAGAAATTACCTTATTTGCTTAAGCTCCTGAGCAGCTTTAAGGATAATCTCATGCTGACGTTGAGAGAGGGCAAGTACATTTGCAGCACTTATTCCTTGGGCTGCTAATTCGGCTGAGCTTCCAGGCAAGTCTGAAGCAGATTCAACAGGCAGTGAAGGTATATCCACACATGACTCACTTTTAAGTTCATCATAGTGAGGTCTACGATCATCATAGTCAGGATAGCCTCTCTCAGGTGGTGAAGAAAGCCTCGATGGCCTACCCAAGTCTGCCTCCTCCTGTCCATATGGCGGCTCATCCCTGTACTCACGAATTCTAAGCTCTCCTCTTGCCCTGGTGCTGTCATCGAATCGATATGGGTGATCTCTCTCAGCTTCCTGATGCCAGCGTTCATCTCTGATGTGCTCTGGTGGCATGCGGGGAGGATAGTCTCGTTCAGGAAGCCCTCGCTCTCTGTCCCACACAGACTCGTGGTACTTGGCTTCATGGTGATAGTCATCAGGAAGACGGTCCTCTATCGAACGTAAACGATATGGATCACTTCCATGTTCATAATCTACAGTGATTCCCGCCCTGTACTCTTTTTCATACTCCTCATGTTCTGGACCTGGACGCCACATTCCCCTCGCCATTCCTCGGCCCACAGGTCTTCTCCTTATTCCTTCCCCATCAATTATCCCATCAATTATCTCATGTGGAGGCATTGGAGGACCTCTCCCTGGTGGTGGATACCATTCTTCTTCCACTACTTCATCGTACGATGGTTCTTCTATCAGTTTATGAGGTGGTGGCGGTACATGCTGCCTGCCTCGTGCTCCATCAGGATACACTGGGGGGCCATATGGGTCAGGACCACGGTATGCTGGGTGTAGAGATGGATCCAGGTTTGTATCATCAGACTCCATCTCATGGTCTAATGGCTCATGGTCCGGTTGCCCATGTAGTGGGTGAGGTGGGCGTCCTCTTCCTGGAGGCATGAAACCAGGGTGACCACAACGGGGACGACCTCGGCCAGGTGGAAATGGGGGTCTCATACCTCTCATTGGAGGTCTCCATTCTTCCCAGTAAGGGTGTTCTTCCTCATAATATTCAGCTGATTCAGTGTCTTCCCAGGGTCTCTCCATTGGCTCCCCTCTTCCCATTGGTGGGCCTCCTCTCCCCATGGGTGGTCCCCCTCTGCCCATTGGAGGGCCTCCTCTCCACATGGGTGGTCCCCCTCTGCCCATTGGAGGGCCTCCTCTCCACATGGGTGGTCCTCCTCTGCCCATTGGAGGACCACCTCTTCCCATGGGTGGTCCTCCTCTGCCCATTGGTGGACCTCCTCTTCCCATTGGTGGACCTCCTCTGCCCATTGGTGGACCTCCTCTGCCCATTGGTGGACCACCTCTGCCCATTAGAGGCCCACCTCTGACCATTAGAGGCCCACCTCTGACCATTAGAGGCCCACCTCTCATTGGAGGTCTACCTCGCCCCATTAGGGGTCCCATTGGTCCTTCAAAATATTCATCCTCTTGAAAGTACTGTTCTTCTGGCACCCACGTTTCTTCTGGAGGATCTTCTGATTCATCACCACCAAACTCCTCACAAGGAGGATCTTGCCACTGGTCATCTTGCGTCCCCTTGCTCTCTTCAGGTGGCATGTAGTCATATGGCATTTCTTCCATTTCTTCTCCAGCTTGTATGGGATTTGGTCCTCTAAACTGTCCAGGCCCCATCTGCCCAAGCCCACGTCCACGCATTGGAGGATGGTCTAGCCCCCTACCAAAAGGAGGATTTAGAGGTTCTGGGTTTGATAGCATTTGTGGCTCTGGTTTCATTTCTGAAGTGTGTATCATCTGTGGTGGTTTATTTTTTGTCAATTGTCCATCTGCTTGGAGGGGACTGTTTGAAACTGGAACAGGATCAGTAGTTACAGGAGGTTTACATGTTTTACTATCAGATACTTTTTCACCATCAGTTTTCTCAGGCTCTGTACTACCTGGTAATGTTTGAGGAATGGGATCGTTTTGTACAAAAAAGCCCTCAGCTCCAAGCAAGCTATCATCAGCCAGGTCATCAATGGGCTTATCTTGCATTTTTTGTTTGTCTTTGTCAAATTGTGGCTGAGGTGGTTTTATAGGAGTTTTGGATTCCATACGTGCAGGTTGCTCAATGGTTCTCTCTGACTTGGGTGGTGGACCATGCTGCTGCTGAGGTGCTGGTGAAGATACAAATCTGGACTGCAGTCCAGATCGAGGTTGGTTATATCTGGGGGGGCCATCAAAGCGATGTTCCTTTTGGTCTTTGTCAGATTGTGGTTGATCAGGTAATTTTGATGGAGTCTTTGAATCCATACCGACTGATTGCTCAATGGTTGTCTCTGACTTGGATTGGGGACCTTCCTGCAGTTTTTTCTGAGATGCCGGTGGAGATTCCAAACAAGCCAAAGGGCCAAGGGGCCTTGGGGATTCAAACCTAGGGTGCTGTCCAAATCGAGGTTGGTCATATCTTGTGGGGGCATCAAAGCGCTGCCGTGGTTGGTCAAATCTAGGGGGGCCATCAAAGCGCGGCCGTGGTTGGTCAAATCTGGATGGCCCATCAAAACGTTGCCGTGGTTGGTCAAATCTGGGTGGCCCATCAAAACGTTGCCGTGGTTGGTCAAATCTGGGTGGCCCATCAAAACGTTGCCGTGGTTGGTCAAATCTGGGTGGCCCATCAAAGCGCTGCCGCGGTTGGTCAAATCTGGGTGGCCCATCAAAGCGTGGTCGTTGGTGGTCAAATGGAGGGGGAGCATCAAAACGCTGCTGTGGTTTGTCAAACCTTGGTGAGCCATCAAAACCTGGTGGTGGCTGGTTAAACTTTGGAGCACCATCAAAACTTGGTGGTGGCTTATCAAACCGCGGGGGACCATCAAAACTTGGTGGTGGCTTATCAAACTGTGGAGGACCATCAAAACTTGGTGGTGGCTTGTCAAACTGTGGAGGACCATCAAAACTTGGTGGTGGCTTGTCAAACTGTGGAGGACCNGTGGTGGCTTGTCAAACTGTGGAGGACCATCAAAACTTGGTGGTGGCTTGTCAAACTGTGGAGGACCATCAAAACTTGGTGGTGGCTTGTCAAACCTTGGGGGACCATCAAAACCAGGTGGTGGCTTGTCAAACCTGGGGGGGCCAGCAAAACCTGGTGGTGGCTTGTCAAATCTGTTTTGCCTGGAATTAATAAAAACACGGAACATGTAAAACTGGGTACATAAACCTACATTTTTATTTATTTAGCTTCAAAGAGTTCAGTCCTACATATATATATATGTAAAGCATAAATCACATTTATTACAAAAGAGCTCTTACTGACCCTGGTTGTATGACATCATTGAAACTCGAGGGTTGACCAGTCGGGGGACCAGGAGGCCCCACTCCGATCGCAGGAGGGACACTTCCTTGCAAAGTGGGTCCAGATGGTGATTCTGTCTGTGTTGCATAAGCAGGCACTTGCTGACCTGCAGATATTGGAAGAACAGTTACTGGAGGCTAGAATTTAAAGGTTGCTGCTGCATGTGAATTTTTTGTGCAGGGTACTCACCAAGCTGTCCCATCATAGCTCCCATCATAGCAAACGGTACTATGGCAGAAAGAGTGGCCACCCTTTCTTGAAGGTGGGCATTGGTGGCATTCATCTGCTCTTGCCACTGCTTCCACTGGTGCTCATATTCCTGAAGTTGGTCTTTGTGTGGATAAGTCTGAAACTGTTCATACCATAAGGCAAAGGACGCAACCCAGTTTTGGAATAATGAGTTGAACTGCTGCTGCTGCATTCCATAGTGTTTCAGTTGCAATTCAGCAGACATAGACTGCAACAAAAGGACATAAAAAGATTCTTGATATTTAATGTAATACAAAAAAAAAAAATCAATTAACAATAGAGCTAAATTTAAAAGTTGCATTATTACTCTGTTGGTCTTTTAAATATAGGGATGGGTACAGAATTCGATACTTTTTTTAAGTACCGACCGAATTCTGTCGGTACTACTGAGAACCTATTCACATAACATCAAACGGTACCATGTTTCGGTACCTAAATGCATCATTGTGACTGTATTAGCTTAAGAGTATGAGATTTTCCATGCTTGTCCTGAACGCAGCATTGCGCAACAGCATAATGACGTCAGCAGCCGCTGGTTCAGTAAACAGAGTTTGGTCTGAACGTAGCTTGAAAGCGAGCCTCGCAGCTGCTGGAGTAAAACTCGCCGAACAGACCTTCTCTGTCTGGTGGATTAATTATCTTGTGAGCACGGTGTTCGCTTGCTCAAAGTAAATAAAGTACCGCCACTTTATTTATTTCATCCGCCATTAAACAGAGACCGGCAGAGGAAAACATCAGAGGCGCTGTTTAACGCGTCTGACCTGAAAGAGCACAAGCAGTCAACTTGAAGCACTGGGCGTGTTTTGGATGCTGAAAATGTAGCTTGAATATCTTTTATTTATTTTAACTCCATCCTCTTTTGCTTATTTGATTTAAACTTATTTGCCTTCCATGGACCTCCATCACACAATTTTTCTAGCAGGGAAATGACATCAATAGAAATATGTGGAGCTGGATTTTAATTTGTGCAATAAGACAAAACAGTCTTGTTGTTTTCAAGAGTTTTCACCTTAAAGAAATTAGTTAAAAAACTGATGTTACAATACAAAGAGTTGGATGTTGTCTTGTAGGGATGGGCGATATGGACCAAAAAATTTATCACGATAATTTCTAGGTTTTATCACGATAACGATAAGTGACATACTAGAAGCCACTAAACTACATTACTACTACTAATAATAATAATAGTAATAATATTAACAATGTCATTTTATTTATAGGCGCCTTTCAAGACTCTCAAGATAACCTTACAAAAGTCAATAATAAAATCACAATAAAACAATATACACAATAAAAAACAATATATCAATTAACAAAACAAAATAAAATAAAATAGTGCAAGCTTAAATAAGAAAATCTGTCTTAGTAAATACTGTAAAATTAATGGTAGTTATAAAAGTTCAAGTAGTACACCTGTGTTGCAAAACTGACACCCATCAAACAAGACTGAATATGAGAACAGAATTGACATTTATTTATTGACACCAAAAATGATCAATAATAATGGACTAAGGTTTATATGATAAATCTTCAAATCACATCCTCTTAGCACTAATCATTTTTGTAAAACCTCAGAAGAACTCTAACCCTTGTAAACTATCGGTAATATAATAACAAAATAAAACCATAAGAAAATACTACTAATCACTGAAAATAATGTATTTTGCTGCTCTGGCAGGTAAAGCTATAATATCTGTGCCCCTTAAGGGTTAATGTTCAGGGGAGGGAGGGTCTACATGTGTGAGTGAACCACGCAGCCTGGCAGGGACAGAGAAGAGACTGGAGGAGCTGTTTTTTATTTTTGTGGGTCCAGCAAGTTGATGCTGGCTGTCCTGTTGTTTGTTTTTTTTAAACATTTTGTTGAACTCTTAAGAGTTTTTAAGATGACTGCATTTTTGCATGCTGAGTGTCATTATGATAGCTTTTTAGCTTTACTCAATTAGCACATGGTCAACTTTCGCTCTGAGTAAACAAACGAAACTTAACCTGGCGGCACGCGGTGGGATTTTATTGTTTTTATTGCGAGATGACTATTACCATGGTGAATGTCTATGACGGTATATCGCAAACGATAACATATCGCCCATCCCTATTGTCTTGATATTCGTTAAATTTTATATATTGAGAAATATGTTAAATAAAATATAAAAAAGTTTATTATTATTTAAAAAAACACACACACACAAAATACAGAAAATGGGTACCGTTAAGTACCATACCGATTCCCAGGTACCGGATATTGGTACCTAATCGATTCAAATGTCAAAGGTACCCATCCCTATTCATGTACCTGTAAGTCTGAAGGTTGTTGAATCAGCTGTTGGTATTGTTCAAGGATTTGCTGAAGCTTCTCATGTTGTTGCATGAGAGCCTGGTATTGTATACTTGCTCTCTGCTGTTGCACCTGCTGCCACTGAGCAGCTGCAGCTTGTAACTGCTGGAGACGGACTGCTTCTTCTGAGCTTTGTGGGACATCAGGCTTTAAACAGAAACGAACAAAGATTAGAGCAAATTAATATAAAGCATGTATTTTTTAATTCTGATCATTTTTAACATTTATGGAGAAGACAAACTGTGTAGTTGATAAAAGGAAATGTTTTGAGATGGGCTTAATTTACTATTTAAAACATAAAACAGTAAAATTAAAGTTTGAGCACTGCTAGTAGTATTTTCAAGGATGGAGTCACACAACAGATGAATGAATAAGGTTGGGTGCAGTTACAAAAAATGTTGAGCGTACCAAGATCTTGATGTAGTTACCTTGTTTTCAATACAACACAATTGAAAGATTTTATTGAAGTATTTTATGCCACAAAGTTCCCTTGACCTAAAGTCACAAATTATTTAAATGTCTGAAAGTCATCTTGTTATTTTAACAAATAACTACATCAAGAATGTGGACCATAACATTATATATTTCACAACAATAATCACAATATCCATAAAGCTTGCATAAATTGAGTGTAAATTAGCATTGTGATCCTTTAGGGAAATAGTTTTGCCCTTGCCAGCTTTGCCCAACTCAATTCAAGACATGCCATATAATCACAGGGACTGAGGTAAACTATTCATGGAGATTGTGATGATGAAATACATGGACAGCATGACTTACTGTTTCTGTAAATGTAGGTGAGTTTCCTACATTCTCATTCTGCAAATTTACGCAAACAATATAAACAATATTTAGATTGTAGAAAAACTGGACTTCACCATCTCTGCCAACATTTTAGAAATCCTTACATTTACTCCCACAGGTGGTGGAGGCGGCACAGAGGGTTCCTCCTTCGGAGGGGGCGGAGGCGGTGTGCTTTTCGGTGGTTCTGATGGAGGAAGAGGAGGCTGAGCTGCTTGACTAACAGGTGGTAGTGGTGGCAAAGAGGCATTACTTTGGTTCTGACTCAGCTTGCTTTTCTCTTGCTTCAGTTTTTGCAGATTCTCCAGATGTTGCTTGTACCAAACGTGCTGCTGCTCCTGGAAGAAACATACCAACCATACCAACATAAGATAATGCCCGAGAAGATTACACTTTTTCAATTTCTGTCCTTCATATACTCAGCTAATTGGCTTCCTTTTGCTCCATCTTTTCTACAGGCTCGGTAATTTGTGGAGCAGACAGTGGGAACTGTAAGGTTCCTGTTTTTAAACTTCATTAAAATAAAGTTCCAGTTTTTCATGATTAAAATCTGATTAATCTTGTTAGCCTGGAAATTTTCCTTATTTCAAGAAGTCTTACCAAGTGTAATTGTCTTACTTTACTGGTAGAATCTGCCAGTGAAACAATGACAAGATTAATAATTTAACACATTCTGCTCTTGCTTAGTGTATCAGTATCACAAGATCAAAATTACTTTTTGGCTGGATTGTAAGACTTGGTTCACCTAATTTAAACTATGTCAATATTTTTTAACCCAGCTTTTTAAAAGAATCTGAAATGGGAATCGTTGGGAACTGGAATCGAAGCGAGGAATTCAAACGATGCCCAACTCTGATTTTAAATGCAGTTTCTTTAGCCGTTTTCAGACTAATTAGCTCTCAGGGCTTAGTTCCACCACGGAGCATTCTAGGGCTGCAACAACGTATCGATAAAATCAATAAAAATAGATTATTAAAAGCGTTGGCAACGAATTTCATTATTAATTCGTTGTGTCGCGCGATTTATGTGTCTCTCACCACGTCGCGGAGCCGTTTACATCACCCGCAGAGCGTTGTCAATGCTGGCTGACCTAAATAAAGTTTAGGAAGAAAAAAACTCTACCTGTAAAGATCCGCCCTCTTTGAGATTCTCAAGTCAAAAGTAGACGTTTTTAAATTGTGTTGTTAGGCCAAGTAGAACCGAAGTTATGATAAAAAAGTATATGCCACATTTAATTTTTTTTAAAGGATGAATTGATGCGAGCCCCTTCTCGGGCCAAAAGTTTAAAACCCTCAAGTTTTTTTCTGACTGAGGCTCAAAGTTATTTGCTAAGTAGCAAAAAGGTTCAGGACGAAGGAATAATAAAAAGATGCGAGCAGCAGGTCTGCCTCAGTAGGGGAGGAGGATGGGGGGCTGCTTCGGAACCAACAAGAAGGAAGCAAAAAGTAAAAAAAATTAAAGAAAAATTATAAATGCTAAATGTAAATAAATTCTAATTATAATAAATTAATAATAGTTTTACATCTAAAAATCATTATTATATTCTTTTAAACTATTTTCCTCATTCAGCAACCTATTAAATTTCTGGTTTGTTCTATGTATGAGAAATACACATTTTTTTCAGTCAGTATTTAATACAACTGGTGAAATAAATTGTTAAGATATTTATGGGCTTCTGTTTTAAATTCGGGAGATTATATAAAAAATCCTTCATGTTATGAAAAAACCCTCTTGATTCAAGAGAAAACTCAGGTTTTTTTTTAAGAAAATGGTTGCTTATCAATTAATTGTTAGTCAATCAATAAGAAAACTCAACTTCAGATTAATTCATTAATTGATAACTTGCATCCCTAATTTATACAGGAATGAAATTAATTTATATCTACTTATATTTATGTAATTAAGTGTTTTAATGATTTGGCTGATTAATCGAAAAAAAAAATCAACAAATCGATTCTTAAAATAATCGTTAGTTGCAGCCCTAGAGCATTCATAATAAATGTTTTTATTATTGATTTGCTTCTGCACCTCCAGAGGAACTCTGTGGTGGTGTAACAGCTGACTGATGATCACAGTGGCTGTCTGATTACAGAGTTGGAAAGAAGATATAATTTAAAAACATGGGCTTTACATGGAGAGAAAAAGAAGTGTTGCAAATCTAAAACACCAATGACAGAGTGCACTTTACACAACAAAGACTAAGGGAAGGGCACACTGTTTGAAATATAACAAGTGAGTTTTAAAACACATGACATATTTACACAGAAGAAAAATACAGTAGGGATCATAAACTATGAGTTTAATGGATAAACACAATAACAGTGTTTAGTAATAGTATTTTAAACACAATAGTGTTTAAAATACTCATTTTCAGAAAGTGCTGTGGTCTGCTACACAACACTGTTCTTACAATTAATTTGGATGCAAACAAGAGTTAATTATCCATCTAACAAACTGCTGAGTACTTACAAAATTTCCTAATGTTAACAAATTTGAATATCTGTCACCATTTTTGAATGAATTTATTTGTTCGGGACAGTGTGCAATTAAAACATGATTTCATGCATTGCACCAGATTTAGCCTAAGGCTAATTTACATCTGTAGTCCCTTCAAACAGTAAAAACAAAACATCCAACAGGAAATGGAAATGAGAGGGGGGAAAAAAACAGAAAAATAAAAATAATATAAAACATTGTGCAATTAAAATGTTTTATTTTTATTTGAAGTCTTTTTTTAATTAAACTCTACATATAATCTGTCAGTAACCCTGGACAGCAAGATTTGTCTCATGACTGAATTTAAAAAGTTGCCTAAAGTATTAGTATTACAATCCTACAATCGACCCAGAGTGTTTATCATGATTTTTTTTCATGTTTTTTTATTTTATTTTATTGTTACTGAAGTGCATATGCTGCACACATGTAATCAAGCTTGTACTCCATTTAAAAGGAGCAAATAATTTTTGGTAAGGGAATAATCTAGGTTCTAGTGATCCTAAAACACCATTTATTAAATTAACTCACGAACCAACGTTATAAAGTGTTACCTGCAAAGGCACGTTTTTGTCCACAGCAGTGGCTGAATCCTTGCTGATGGCCTCCGTAGCTTTGGGAGCCTCAATGTTTTCTGGTTGCGCGGGTGGTTGGGACTCTGGAGGGGGAGGAACTGGCTGAGACTCCGCGGGTGGCTGAGGCGGTGGTGGGGGAGGATACTGCTGCTGGGGTCCCTGTCTGGGAGCCGGCGGCCGAACTCTCGGCATCTGAGCCGGGGTAGCCTCCTGATTTAAGTACGTCTGCCCACCATCACCCTCGCCGTGTCCCATGCTTTCTGAATGCCACGACGACGAGCCCGAAAACCCACCCGAGGGCGGCCCGCCACCAAAAGCAGGCGCACTGTTCCCGTGGTGTAACACAGACTGGAGCTGTTTCTTGTGCAGCATCTGAAGCTGCTCCATCTGTTGGCGGTGCTGCTCCTCGAGGCTGGAGAACATCGAGCTGCCGGAGGAGGATGAGCTTGAGGAAGAGGCCTCGAAGCCACCGAAACCTCCGGTTTGCCCCGTGTGACCGCCCCCTGGAGGCTTACGAGGCCCTCCATAGCTTTGCGGCGGAGGGGCACCGTAGTTTCCCCAGGACGGATACATTGCAAAACAAAACTGCGTCGCGCGAGGTTACATCCACATCCAGTCGGCCCAAACGTGCTAACGAAAGCTATCAGCTAATGTCGACCTGTCTTCAGAAGACGACGGCTGCATCAGTTTTCCCGCCAGCATAAAATAAAATTAAATAAATCTACTAAAGACACTGTAATATACTACAGGACACAATAAACGTAACTTTTTTAAAGAAACGTTTTCAATTAATGTTCAACGTATCACTGAATGGCCGACTACAAAAGACAGACCGCACAGCTGAAAACGGAAACACGAAGCACACATTATGTGACAACTTCCGGTATATCAAAATAAAATTACATTACTAAGTTATGTCGTCGTTTTTTGTTTCTCCAGAAAAAATATAATCAGTAGTAGTAGTTGTTGTTTTTATGACTAACGCTGAAAATTTGTTATTAAAAAAAACAATGAAATTGTGCCACTCATTTTTAAGCTTTAATCACGTTAACATTGTTTTTAAAATGTGTTATTGTTTTTGTTTTAGAAGTAGTTATTAAAATAATTTTGAAAGCCAGCAGTTAAATATTACAACTCATACAGGAATATAAAATCCATCTCACATGAATCACAGTTCTAAAGACTGTGATTGCTGGATTTTATATTTCTGCCGCTAGAGGGAGACATTTACGAGTTTATTTGTTCACAACAAACTGCTGTAAATAAAAATTAAACTTGACTTCTAAATTATTGCTAACTAGATTGACAGTAATGATCTATTTGAACCCATTGTATTGTGAAGCACAATTTTTTTCATCAAACATCAACACAAACAAAGACAATTTATAGTAAACAGCTAAATCAAATTGGTGTGAACTATTTAAATACACTTATTTTCAAAAGTAAGTTTAATAAAGTGACCTAAAGTCAAGCTATGTGAGTTCAGTTTTCCTATGGAGACTTTGTGTTTATCAGAAGATGACATATAAGAGACAAAAAGAGAGAGAGAGCAGAGGGAGGTACAAGACCGCTGACATTAGGCTGCCCTTGAGGCGTAACACACATAAAATTATTTTCCTTACCGTCACCAGTAAATCTGTATTAATTTTGACCAGAACCACTTAAAAAGAATCGTTAAAGCGGATTAATCAAGCCGGTCCTGTTTAATGTCTCTCGTTAATTAGTTTGTCAGCAGTGTTTTAATATTGCCTAATGACTTCATATTTCACCAGTGACATTCAAAGGATGTTAAAAGAGGAGAAATGGCCCATTCAGGCCTTCGGTCTTTCTCTTAAGACGGCCTGGATGAATAAGACAAGGTCAGGGAGGCCTACCCTTTAGGGAGAGATGGATTATCAGGGGAAATGGGGGTATAGGAGAAATCCCACAGAGGAAGCGTTCTCCCCTCTAAAACAGCATGACGGGCACAATGTGATACAGTTCAGCCTTAGAACAATACACTGCACAAGGGATTCATGATACAGCTTAGGACAGCCACACTGTATAGGATGGCAAGAGAGTCCCACAACAATACAGACACTTGGGACAAATCCTTTTCTTTTTTTGATGGGAAGCAGATTAATATTTCTGTAACGTGAGGTGGGAACAATCCCAAAGATTAAGCAAATGTTTCACAATGCAAAGTTGGTCCATTTTAGCTCCCCATCAGCACTTTGGAAAGCTTTCCGAGCAGGAACAAAGAAATCAGAAATCGTAAAGTTGATATTGAGGACACGGCGTTTTCTCTGTGATGAAAATCCTACGTTAAACAAAATGTTCAATGGAGGCTAATGGATCCCGAACAAGTCCATGCGCCAGTTCTAAAATGCTTTGTTTGACAAATCAATTTTCCCATAACCCGGCGAGGAAAAAAAAAGTGATGCAGATTGATCGGGACCCCCCCTCCCCCCCCCTGACTTTGTTTTCCTGAATATTGTTTGATGGCTCGATAGATTAATTGGTGTGACATTTGAAAGGCTCCTCTTGACTGTCAGCATCTAAAGCTTCTTCTTTGCCAATCGAACCGTAGTCTAATTGTCTTCTCTGTAATACCTCCATTCACAAATTAGAGACTGTGCCTGCATGAACTATTCCCTGTGTAAGAACTAACAACATCACGCTGCTTAATCAGATATAGGTTAGAGGAAGAGGGGAGGGGGGTGATGCTGGCTGATAAGACAGAGTGCATTAAAGGGCATCACCCAAATCGCTGTGCCAGCACATCTCAGCACAGTGAATACACAAATCAGAGCCAAGCAGGTGCTCAAGTCAACAGGCTCATCAATCTTTTGTAGATTGTTCTTATTTGCATTGGAGAAACAACAATAAAGACAGGAAAAAAGCATCTAAATTAGCACGTTCCAAACTCTAATTATTGCACGTGTCCAAAAGGTGATTAATGACCAAATAGAGTTTTTCAAAATATCTTGTGATCACCTGGATACATTTTACTGACACTCGCAGAAAGTGATCACTGGATGTGCATTGTCTCCAAATGATTATCTTTTACCTGTCAAAGACAAACTTTTAGTCTTTAACTATGTTATTTTTCTAACTAAGATTATTGGAGTCTAAATACCCACAAAGCAGACAGGTGTGGGTCAGGTCTGGTGTCAAGTTGGTACTGCTGACTGACTGCTGGTAGAGCAAATGGTTTGTCAACTGGATGTGGGCCAGATCTGGCAATGATTGTTTATAAGATGGCGTGCCACAACTGGCCTGTGGTTTGGTTTATGTGGCCCAAATATTAAAAATAAATTAAATAAAATGGGAAAACCAGCACTCCAAAAAATACCATGTTTTAATAAGGGGAAAAAACTGGATGCATTTCGGCTACATGTCGTCGTCCACTTGTTACAGATCAGAGAAACTACGAGTCTATATAAAGAGGTAAAAAAAAAAACACCTAAGCCAATCACAAACAGGTGGGTTATCAGCCCAAAAAAGAAACATCTGTGACCAACAATCACAACTAGTAGACTTCAATAACATACAATATCTAGGAATACATGAAATCACAGAAAAGTTACAAAAAATATTAAATGCCACAACTGGCCTGGTGTTTGTTTGGTTTATGTGGCCCATATCTGTCAATGCCACAGCTGACTCAGTTGTGGTTTGTTTTATGTGGTTCTGGCCCATGCATGGACCACCTCTGGGCCACCAAAGGGTCATCATTCCAATGCAGCTCAGCTTGTGTGGGCCAGACCTGGGCCAGACAAATTTTGCTACGTGGGATCACTTCGAGGAATGCAAAGTCTCTAAATATTAAATATTCAGCTGTGTTCAGAAGATGACTGAATTTTTCGGTAGCTTCTTCAGTTGTTATTATATTATTTAAAGGTGACGGACAGTAATGTGGTAGAACTGAAACTGAAGAAAACGCTCAAAAATTACAAAAATATAAAATTAAACATTCAGCTTTAGCCGTTTGGACCCAGTGACGTTATATTTGTGTTGTTTAGAATTTGGAAAATGTGGGGAAAAGGATTCGTTTGTGTCTTTTTGGTGACTTTGTGTTTCACAAATGTTTTACTTTGCATTTTCTTTAGTTGGGTAAATGTAATTCCTTTACTTTTGTAACACCAAATCTCAGGACTGAAGACAAAACTAAATGTGCACCAAATTTAATTTATGATTCAAATATGTTCTTTGGGCTCTTTCTTTCATCATGTGCCTTATCTTTTGTTTTCTCATTTCTATTTTTCTAGTTATAAAAACAAGACGAAACTGTAAGCCTCAATAATCTGTAATCTTTTTTTTTTTCTGTAAGAGAAAAAAACATTATTCTGAATCAGATCAGACTGTTGGTGGGGCACATGCCCTCCACATTTCATCACCATTTATTTACCGTTCAGAATGACTAATTGCCCACTTGGTTTCAATGGTGGGCCGTTCTCCTGGCAGAGAAGGCTGCTCCGAAGGCCTCTTCATTCGCCCGCCTTCTATTACCCCAACACACCCACTCGCCTTTGAAAAACTGTAATTGAATGAGTTTATGTCGTCAGATTGATTAATCATATTAATTTGAGCTTGTTAGTGGGGCCGGTTGAGAGCGATGACAATTAGATTAATGAAATTAGTTAATTCTTCTTCCAACACCATATTTCCAAAAACACCCAACCCTTTCTTCAAAGAAAAAAAAAAAAAGGAAAGAGAATCCGTTATGACAAAATTAGCAATCAAGCTTTGGCTGTTAATTGAATGTCTTCTTTTATTAATGATAGGTTTATAAAGAAGACCTTGAGAAAGGAATAATAATTGATTCATCAGAGTGCTCCGAATTATGTGGAGAGTTTACAAATTAGAATCTGTTTTAAAAACTGGTAACAAAAACCTTTAACACACCATGTTACTGCAAATTAAATAAATATCTAATGTTAAGACATGCTTCAGATGAGTTACAGCTGTTTTGGTCAAACCTTGGAAAGTGCATTCTGAGGTCTCACACCTGAACTATGTGCAGCAGATGACTCTCAGCTTCAAGCACATCAAACTTTGGCTCCTTTTCTGCACAACTGACCGAGTTATAGCCTTTTTGTGTTGGCTAATGTTGATTAGCTGCAGTGGCCATCTTGAATTGAATCTGCTCACAGGGAAAGGGGGAGGGCGTTTCTGCTTGACAAAACACGTGGTTCCACCCATGACGTGATGACATCATCACATTTGGCAACTGAGGACATAACTCGTACAAAATCAAACAGCTCTTTTGAACAGCTCTATGAAACAATTGGCTCCTCAAGATCCAGATCCCTTCAAAGAGCCATTTACAGCAGGTAAAATAAGTATTGAACACGTCACCATTTTTTTCAGTAAATATATAACTAGAGGTGCTAATGACATGAAATTTTCACCAGATGTCGGTAACAACCCAAGTGATCCATACATACAAAGAAATCAAACCATAAA